CGCTGAGCTCATCCCTTAATCCCGTGCTTGTGACAATCACGAGGATGACACACTGTTCTTACTAAATGTAGTCATGTGGCACAGGGCGTAACGGGGTTCTAATTTTGGAGAACGATATCAACTTGCGTCAATGTCACCATGAACTTTCATGACTCCGTCGGGTGCGGCGTCGAGGTGTTTTGCGATTCTACGAAGGCTTGGCATCAAGGGAAGATCGTCGAATACGATGCTCAAGTTGGCTACCGCGTGGTTTACAACGATGGCAACGAACAATGGGAAGACCTGTCTGACACGGAAAGAGTTCATCTGGTCCCAACAATAGAGGTTTTGCCATCGGCACGACCGGTGGATCAAAGTGCGCCGAACGTGGATGGCAACAACGCTCCTGAAAACAAATGCATGATGAATCCACCCCCCGAATTGGAGGAAAACAATTTGTGTGTCGATGTTGACGTCGTTGACACCAATGCTGAAGGAACGGATTTGCCCGTGCTGGGGGAAGTTACCGCCAACGATCTCGCGAATGACCACGAGGAAATTCCAGACGTATGCGGTGGCGTCGCATCAGGTTCGACTAGCGATACTCCTCACAGTCTCGTTGGATCGGCTGAAGATAAGATGCCGTCGACGGCAACTCTGCATAATGATCAATGCACCGTGGCCACCACAATAAAGCGGTAAGTACTCTTACCAACGCATGACCGAAAACACGTCCAAGACGAGCCTAGACTTACACATGCTAGCGCTACTGATGATACCTATGGCCCAGTTCAAACGCCAACACAAACACAGTTTGCAGAACGAGATGCACAAGAACTCATTCCAAGCACTCAACTCAGCAAACCATCCGATCAACTAGGCAAAGCGCGATTGCAATTCCCTCCATTTCTTGAGTGGGATGGTCAAGCTTCGAGACTCAGCGGTCGCATTTGGCACTGTCGCACCGAGCAGGAGGTTACATGGCGTGTATTTGTCAAGATATACATTGTGCCTCCCGGCCCAGGAAGCATCCAGTTGCGCTGCAAAGGGGCCATCCACACTACCCGCACGCACGAATGTGCAAACGGAGGCCCGTGGTTCGATTCCGAATGGACGTATTTATTCACAGGTGCGTCCATCCATCGTCACGTTGTTCACGTACGGTGGGTACTAGATGAACCTGTAAATCTCGACATCGAAGTTCTGTACGCAGTTTATCACGCCGAATCGACGACGAACAACATCTTTCTCGGACAGATTTTGATCTCTCTCCGTGACTTGGTTGGAAGGGAAAACCAAAGCGTTTACGACAACGAGTATTCGCTCAAATCTCGACAGGGCAAGTGTGTCGCCGGGGTGTACTTTCACCTCGAGCATCAATTTCTCGTCACGAGCTTTGTAACGAGCACACACGAACCAACCAAAGTCGATTCGAAGGCCAATCTTCCAGTTGCTGTACAACTGGCTCACGACAAGCCACGATTGAAGCCGATTGTGAAGGAAAGGCAGAGAGAAATTGCTCGAAAGGCAACCACAACGACCAGACCAAAGTCTTCGTCATCCGCGCCGTCTAGGAAGCACAAGCAATCGCTTCAAACGCAAGAAAAAATCTACAAAACGGCCCGTCGGATGAAGACAACGTCGCAAGCAGGGAACGGCAAACGATCAACGTACAAGACGCAAGTGCAGTTGGTCGAAGATATCGCCGAGCTGCAATCAAGTGTAGCTCAAGCGGAAGCCCAGGTGATGAAACTGAGGATGACATTGTCTCGCTTGGAAATCAGCCAAGGCAAACTCCGGACGACGGCTGAGTGTTTAAAACGTTCCATTGCCAGAAGTTCACCGCTCACGGTTGGAACCAAATCGAACAACGACTCACAAGGATCGACGGTAGCACCATGCTCGAGACGCACTTCAGAATCGTCCGATTACTTGGAAAGTTTGGCGACCGTGTTTAGCGATGCCGAGAGAACGCGAGAACAGTACGTTCCTGGGCGAAGTGGGGCTTCATGGTCTCAGGTCCGCCAATTGTAGGCTCCTGGCAAGCATAGCAGCGCTCAGTCGCGAAGAATCTGTCACTGACATGGCTCTTCGGGATGCAATGGACGATTTGCAGCGAGGTCACGAGCGGCTCCAGGTGGTCAGAGGAAACAGCGGTGCAGAAAGAGATGACGATCGTTTCTTCAGCCAACGGTTTAACGTTCTGATGGGATTGAGGGTCGACGTGACCACTCTGGAGGAACAAAAGGCAATGAATGAATCCAAGGCATCGCACAGCTGTCACGGCGGGAATGCATTGACAGAAGTGGAGGAGAAAGTATTGTCCCGACGCAAGAAAGAGGAACACCTCCAGCAAGAGATCGCCCTCCATCGCTCGCAATATGAAGAAATCGTTCAAAGCAATGTCGTCAACAATATGAAGCGACAAGTCAAGGATTTGCAGTGGATTCTGTTGCTGACCAAACGACCATGATGCGAATATTCAAGTGGAGATGCGATTGACAAGACTGCAGGTTGGGTTTTCAATGTGAGACTGATCATTCTAATTACCACGTTCCTGCGCCCCCCCCTCTTCTCCAAGTGCAGGCACATGCGGAATGCAAACGCCAGTAGTCAAGTGCGTTTCTCCTTGCACTTGGCGAACTGGCCCGTCGAACTTGGTACGCCAAATCCACTTGCGCGCCAACGACTCGCGATGAGGCGGTAGATCCGTCAGAGTCCAGGTGCCGTTGTTGACCAGAGTGAGTCGTACTCGTCTTGGGTCGTCCTTTCGTCTGCCCCTCGATTCAACAAACGTTTTTATGGTGCGACACTCATTCATAGCAACGCTCATTAAGATGATTTTGATTGGTTGGAAGCACACATATGAGGGAATAACGCGATTTGATTGGACACATTCACGTTGGTGGCATGTTGGTGGCGATGTTTCAAATCGACTCGACGGAAATGGTAGCAATCGTGGACGTCGGCGAAATTCCTCTGCACGACAAGCACATCCCGACGGCAAACCTGTCAAAGGACAAAACTATCGGACCATTGGTCACGTTGCGCCATGCGAATGTAAACATTCAAGCGCTTCAGGACCGCTTGCGTTTGTTGGAAGAAACGATGGGAATATGGGATCCCGCGCATCAAGTGGGCAACGTTCCAATTCGACGTGCTGGCCACGACGCGTGGGGAATCGACAAGATCATGCTGGTCTTTTGTGACGACTACATGAAGAATGTGTACGAATTCCCTTGGCTGGAAAAATGGATCGATGTGTTGCAGCCATTCTTCGACCTTCTCCAGGTCCCTTTGACTCGGGTGAGGACTACAATGGCCCCTGACGTCTAACCCAGCCCCCAGGTGGTGCGCTGCCTCCTCGCTCGTATGCCGGCAGATTCGGATATCCCTGTTCACAATGATACCGGCTACTGGGTCGACAAATGTCATCGCATTCACTTGGTTTGTAGAAGGCCATTGTGAAGTAGCATCTCATGGATGTGCTGTAGCCTGTCTTCACCGATCCCGCAGTGGACTTTCGAGTACATCGACATCTTCTATTTGACCATGGGACATATAGCATCCGTAGGTGGGCCGGGAAGAAAAATCCATGGTTGCGTACGACTTTGCCGAGGGACACATTTACGAGTTGAACAATGCATCCAAGCACAAAGTACAGTTCATCCGTGCCCATGAGGTCCCTTGACTCAGTGAATGCAGGTGCACAACTACTGGTCGCAACCTCGCGTGCATTTGATATTTGACTACGTTGACGCCACGTTTCCAATCTCGTCGATTCCTCGTGTCAAGCTGACGCCGGGCATGGTACTTCACCAGACACGTCGAAGCGTTGACGCGTCGACTCTCTATGGAACGCGTGTGCCGCCTTCGTTCATCATCATCGGGGCCCAGAAGGCAGGAACAACTTCGTTGTACGACTACATAACGCAGCACGACTTGGTCGTCCCTTCGATCCGAAAGGTAACATTGTCATGCCATGAATACCTTTCGATCACTTGACAATTAGGAAACGCATTACTTTGATTGGCGCTGGGACTCGTCACTTCCTCCTATCGACGGACCGGATGGAGTGACGAAGCACAAGGCGATGTACCATCGTTTCTTTCGAACTGACGTCTTGCTACCGAATCCCTCGATCCAAACTGGCGAAGCAACCCCAAGCTACATGCTCGGAGGGTCCGTTGTCATCCAGCGATTCAAAGCGTTGGTATCGGCCGAGACAAAAATCCTCGTCATCCTGCGAAACCCAGTGGATCGAGCGTTCTCACATTACAATATGACCGCAGACACGGAAGGCAACGCTGAGCAGCTCAAGAACCGGTGAGAGACCACTTGTTGAATAATGGGTTACATGGATCGGCGACTAGTGGTCATGCCGCACTGGACGGTCGAACGTTTGAAGAGGTATGTACGAGTCAGATTGTGGTCACGATCGTTGATGTGTTATATTAGATTGTCTCAAGCGAAATCGCCGAAATCGAAGCGCTGGGTATTCATCCCGAGATGAGTTTCGACGAATTTGACGAAGTCTACTTGAAAAGTCGAGTAAACTACCGCCATGGGGGACACTCATTTGTTGGACGCGGTATGTACCAGCGTATTTGACGTGGCAAATTGAGGATTTGCTGTAGGTCTGTACGCGTTGCAGTTGGCAGGATGGTACCAAGCGTTTCCTTCGTCACACATCCACGTGGTCAACATGGACGACATGAAGACTTCCGTTGGGTTGCATGTACCATCTCCACACGTGGTGGGATGGGTTTTTGACATGGACATCCCTTAGGACGTGATGAACTCAGTCTATTCGTTCCTTGACCTACCGCCGTATACCATTCAAGACTCAAGTGCCAAGAATACTCGTCTGTACGCCCAAATGAGCCCTGAAACGAGAGAGCGCCTCGAATTATTCTACGCTCCGTTCAATGTCAAACTCAAGGCGCTTCTGGGGGAGAAGTCTAATTTTTCGTGGGCGGTTTGACGCCGTAGGTCGTCGCTTACAGTAGCTCGCAGCACAGTTTAGGAGGTGGCGGATTATATTAATGTGCTTCATGCTGCTATCAATGTGATGTAATTTTCCGGGTTTTATACTGAAGTGGCGATTCGTTTGTCGGCACTTGTTACCGTCAACATCGGCCACCGATATCTCTCCTCGGCAATTTCACATAACGTTATTGTGGTTCATCAAATATCAAAATAACGGCACGTTCAAGGACTTTCACAAGAACCAAGCTAACGTTACATCGATTTGAACATTTCTGACGCGCGGGTTGAATTTTCGAAGGTGGTATTGATGCACAGAGGTTGTCGAAAATATTTAGACTTGCATAAAGTGTTAATAATGAATTGACCGTCAGATTTTGGAACTGCAAATATTGTATTTCAGAGGGTTGTTAGTTATTCAGAGGCAATTGTTACAGTATCGCAGCACTAACTTCCATAAAATTCGACTAGTCAATGTAGTCGCCGTACTTCCTGGCCTGAGGGTAGAACCAGTTCCTGTTTGACATCAAGGATCCTTTCTAACCGGGCACATGCAGAGGAAGGAGTTGGTAATACGACGAATGAATTGGCAGGGTGTTTTGCTATCTGAATGAATATATTAAAACGACTTTTAGATAGGCCGCTGAAACCTTTGAAAGGCCGACTTCAATTTCAATGAAAATCTTGACATGCATTCGGGCATCAATACCGTAGAACTGTTACACCCCCCTCACTCAAAACTACTGTAAACTCTCTAATTGTAGACGCTCTCTTCAATAAACGACCCCCTTTATACAACTACCTCTGTAAATCAATACCTTTAATAAATATAACCAAACAAGTATATAATATATACAAAGTGAAACATTGATTTTAATCTTGGTTCATCATGGCAAGATCATCAAACTCTTCAAGCAAATCGTCGAAGTCTGGCTCTTCGGACTCTTCTACATCATCCGACATAAGTCCTTCGAGTTCAATGCGGACATTCTCTCCCATCGTCGGGTGTTTAGAGACGAGCAGCTCGTCATTTGTACCAAGGAAGCACTTCACAAAACTCTTCAAGACAATATCACTTGAAATCGCCTTCCATGAGTGAATCAGCCACTTTGCAACAACATCATTTGATGGTGGTCTTGGCCGCCCACCTCTTGTGTAGTTAAAATCACCACTCGATTTCCACTCGTCAATATTTTAGGCTATTTTGTCTTTCAATGGCTTAAACCAGCTGACGTCAGCCGGTTGCGAATACGCCGTAGTGCCGCCAGGTATGACTGCATAGAAAAATCCCTTTTGCTGAAGATACGCCTTCACTTCTTTGCTCACATGAGATCTTGCAGCATCAAACACGAGAAGAATTTCGCCAGTATTGACAAAGCCGAACGTGTATTCGAGGTAGCAGATGAATATGGACGAGTTCAACCACGACTTCGGGGCACCACAAACAGACACCAAGCCTCCATTGCGAATCAGCAATTCTTTCTCCTTGACCATGAGCAAGGGCTTCAAATTTCGACCTGTTGCGCTCGCGCAAAATACCGCTGACACACGCATTTTGTCAAAACCCATTGATACAATCGGTACATCGCGCGAGCCCACCAAATCGACGGTTGTTTGACGGGAGTGATCGAAAAAGATGGCTGTCTCGTCAAGGTTGTAAATGTTGTCGGGTACAATCTTGTAAGTTTCGATCAATTGGCGCACATGTTGAACAAAATTGGCGCAGCGTGAGACGATTTCATGGTCTTCGAGCACTGGTTTTCTTGTGCTACGCCTCAGCGTGAGGTCATAGCGATCCAAGAATTTTTCAAGCCACCCGTCGGAAAATGTCAAGGAGATAATTTCGTCCAATTCGTCGGCGATGTCTTTTGCCCAGGACTTTATGAGCTTCCTGGTAACACGGGCTCGTAACGATCGTTCGAATATAATTCTCGAAGAGGATTTCATCGAGCTCTTCACATGTCACTCGTCTGCCACTTCCAGTCAATCGGCATCGCGACGGCTTTGAGCAAGCAAGATCGTGCTTCATCCATTGGCGAATGTTGCTTGGTTGCATCTTGTACTTCTTTGCAACGGAATGTATTGATGAAAGCTTGGCCTCTTCAATGATCTTGAGCTTCGTCGCTACGGACACCTTCTTCATTTGGATGGCACTCCTTTTTCGAATACAACCTTGTATTATTCTATATCCGATATATAAATATATAGAGGAATCTAATTGTGGATCCCCCCATAAGGGTCTATTATTACAATAGACCCGGGTATACAGTTGGAGAGTTCACAGTAAACCAAATGGGGTCGTGTTATGGAGTAGTTGTGATGGACCTGGGTGATTTGATGGATTCGGCCATCAGCATTGCCGTAATATCGGAGGGAATATCGAACCCGGAAGGCAAGCATAAGGCGGACGAGATCTCCACCGGTGGCGAGGAGGGCTAAATTTTTCTTGCTGACTTGATCGACGAAGAAGAGGCGGAAGTGCCTGAGCCGTTCGAGGCGGTGCAGGTCGCCTGGAGTTGGAAGAGCGATCGCCCGATGCGACGCTTGTCAACGCACCAAGGCCGCTGCTTCTTCTACGGCGCCTCTTTACTCTTTGCCGATTCCGACGATATTGGATATCTTTCAGCATAGACTTTGTGTTTGACCTCTCGCGTGACCCTCGTGGCAACATAGGTGTCATGGTTTGTGTCGACTGGGCGTCCCAATACTTCGTGGCCGTCTCAGTCAAGGAATCTGTCAGCGGCATCGACGCTGCCCGCCTTTTTATCAGATACTTTGTCGATTTGGCCTCTCGCGGTCCATCGTATCGGACAGCGACCCACACCCGCATCACGTCTCACTTCTGGTCGGCTCTGCTTGAGCTCTATGGTACCGAATTCGCCATGCCTGACCACCCAGAGTCCGATGGCCAGATTGAGCGTGCGAACCGCGCACTCGAGGACATTTTGCGTGCGTAGTAATTGTATGTAGAGATTGCTACTGTTGTTTGATTGGACAAAACTAGCCATTTCCGACAACGACGGCAATAAATTTCATGACGAAATTTAATTACTGTGAAACTCAATTGCTATGAAACGCAATTACTCTGAGAGAGCACCACGAATTGACTTCCCAAATGAACGATGGGTCAATAAAGTGGAATTCCTTCCCGCGCTGTCGTCACGCGCTTAATAATGACCAGGCGCTTGGTCATGGTGTTCTCCTTGTTCTTCAGCCACACACTCCTTTGCTCCAATCGATTCCATTTGCGTTGCCCCGATCGTCATGCGCTATCACGATAGCGCCATATTGAACGAGCCAATCATGAATGAGTGCTGTGGATTCATTAAATCATTGATTGCGGTGAGATATTTTGTGAATTATATTAATAGGTCCAAAATTCTTTACCACAACAAATTTTCGCAGACACCTAACCATCATTCCATACTGTAGTCCCAATCCCAATAGAAAGAGTCTTACGTTCTATGAGAAAATCAAGGCGGAAGAACCGCCTTATCAACTGGCAAAGACTGGGGATTCAGGGAATCAAACCTAGGGCACAGCGGTGATACCTTGCGCTACTAACGGCCTGGCCACAGAGGATCCCCTAAAAAGGTTGCTGACAATGAATCTGCGTATAGAAAATCCAAGACTTTGACTCATGTAATTTGTACGTGTATCATATCATGTTGTTTCGTCGTGTTCAAAAATATAAAATGCCCATTGGCTAAAATATTGGAATTTTGCTCGACTGTTCAGAATGCCTTGTCCATATTAATTCCAAAAGTATGAACGAGCACCGCAGGGAAAATTTTTCCGTCGTTACCTGTACGCTTCTACCCCCGTCGTCTTTGTGTACAATTCGTCCGTCCAGACCTTCACTGTCTATTATTCTATTCATTTACAGCACCCTCGCAGCCCTCAGCTACTGGGCAGTTCCTTTTCAGGGGGGAGACTTCCTGTCGCTCCTCCGGCAATCGAAGCTATCACCGCAAACCTCGCTTCCATCGCAAATTTGTGGTACAACAGATCAGGACAACCACGTGGTTGCTCAACAACGACAGGCAACGCAATCCGACCCGCCATGGTTGCTCCTACTCGGAGATATTTTCTGTCAGCAATCTCGTCCTCCTCCACAAATCGGCCTTCCTTGGACACGCCTTTCGCGTGCGCACCGCTGGGCCCAGCGCGAACGCCAAGCTACGTTCCACTTGGCACGGCCATATTGCCGATCTCGATGTCATGAGTTCGACTCCTACAAACTCAAGCTCCCCAACGAATGGAATGTGCACCCGACTTTCTACGTCGGTAAACTTAAACGTTATCATGCCCCTACACCTGCGTTTCAACGATGTCAACCTCCGTCGGCGGCGCGTTCTCCGTTCCCGCGACTCCTTCTACCCCTCCATTTGGTCGTCGTCTTCCACCAGCAGCTGTTCCTCGACTGAAGGTGACGGAGTCACAATGAGTACCGCCACGTGACGCTCTTCCAGGCATTCCTTCCAATGCCTCTGCCCGCAACCTGGCGCGCTCAGGACGAAACACTGGTAGTACCGGTCGATGAACCTGCACAGGGACCGCCGCTGGCAGTTTCGCCTTCGCTTCCCCGTACCCGTGGACGCGATCCAGCACGGTCGGCCACTGTCTAAGGTCGGGTCGCCCTGTCTGCCGCCGCTTCTTCGACGGATTCTGCGTCCGTTCCGTTAGTAGGGGAGACGCTACCTGCACCCCTCCTTGCGGAGTCAATGGCACCCCCCCCCCATTGTCGTTGCTTGACCGCCCTACGGGTAGTCCAGTCAAGACGTACGACAGCTTGCCATTGCAGACGGTTCATCTACGAAAAGGAAGTCGAAGTTGAAAACTACTCAACATTACCTCGCGCTCATGACGCGTTCCTAAACGAACTGTGATCTGCACGACAAGTTCGGCGGGCTAACGCCCGTACACAAACATGCTGATGTACACCAGCAAGGTCTCGCCTTCGCACAGATCGCCGTGCCCACCTCGAGCACCAAACTTGGAACACCTTCGTGCACGCGGTCCTTGTAGCATGTAAAACCTCGCCTATCAATAATTACCAACTTCATCGTGACCACAGCGCTCAACATCCACAAGACGTG